ACAGGGGAGCTGTCAGGGTCCTGCGAGTCTTCCTGCTGTTCAAGGAGCAGAGGCACTGCATGCGTGCATGCATGCATGCATGCATACATGGATTGCATGCGTGCTGCATGCATGCATTGGATGCATGCGCCTTTGTCATAGTAGATCTAACATCACCAATACTATAATATACTATACTTGCATCATTACTCTCATCGGGAAGGGCAGAAGCAACATATATGTGCCTGCGGGAGTCGCCTGCATGGTTTAGTTTAACTTTTGTTTTGTTGGCGGGCGTATAGAGTGTACGTACACTGCGCTACTCTACCCGGCACAGATATTCCATTCAACTGCCGTTGCTTCTCAATTTTCAAGTCTGCTTTTCTGGTGTACGCACAACGTATATACGCATAAGACTTTATTCATTTATAATGTATATAATATACATTGTGTATGGGTAGATCCATGCATACAGGTGCCACATTCAGACAGTTATCAGTCTTACATATTCAGCTCTTTGCAAGCCCTATATTTATATTTTTATTTAGAAACAGTAGTTATTCTCCTACAGCAGTATCAACGGGGCCAATGCAACGAGTAAACTGGCCTACAGGAGCCGGGCGTTCAGAGTTCTTTACGTTTGAGTTATAGGAAACTTTAGCAATAGATACCCGAAGTATCTTAATTTATGTGAGAAGAACTCTAGTAAACAGTTTTTATAGTTTATTCCCTTTTTCAAGCGGCTTTCCAACTTGCATTCTGCCACGGCAGGGGTGGTGGGATGTTGTGTATATGCAGCAGTTCACACCATACGACAGAAGTACACAGTTTACTAAATAAATATAATCACTAGAAATTGCTATTTATTACTTGAAATAACTAATTTATTCAGAAAAATCTACGAAAAGGTGTTCGTTCATGGGGCGCTTGATCCTGCTTGCTGCCTGGTCTCGCGGTGTATGATGGACTCTCTCAATACGTGGTTGCCGAGGCGGTGGTGGCATCTGTTTAGTTAACAACTTCTCTAGATTTCTCAGTTTTTCGTTTGTATTTGAAAATATTTATATTAATATTTCCTTTTTCCTGAAAAGATGATCCTTTTTGCTGCGGCTTTCCCGCCGCAGCCGCAGCCCAGCCCCAGTCTTTCATACTGCGGCGTTTCCGTGCTATTGAAAAAACACTCAAAGATGAACTGGTAAATACAACGGTTTCTTCTTTATTTTTAATTTTATAACACCACAGTCTTCGCTTTCCTCACATGTTTCAGGTCTGTTCGCTTCTCTTTTTTTGCTAAAGAGAACCTCATCCAGGTGCTCGCGCCCACCCCCCTACGGGGGATACATTGGTATTTGTTGAATTCAAGGAGATTGATACAGCGAGGCAGCAGCAGGAGATGGAGTAAAGTAGACAACAATGGATGCGTCGCGTGGCCAGCTGCCTGCGGGCTTGAAGGGGAGGTGTCCATACACCGTGCTGGGTCTGTGCTTATCGGCAGATGGGGAGCAGCTGAGTGTACAGGAAGCAGCAGCAGATGAAACTTCTGTTGCAGCTCGTGAGGCTTTGAGCTCCAAGGCGATTGGTACTGCATACAGACGGGCGGCGTTGAAGGCCCACCCAGATAAAAACAAAGGAAGAGAGGCAGAGGCAGCAGCAGCTTTCTTAGTTGTGAATTTAGCGTTTGCTTTTCTTTCAAATGCAGATCAACGTGCAGCATATCATGAACACCTGAGGACGTTGCTTTCTCTGCGGCAGCAGCGGCAGCAGCAGCAGCAACGATGGACAGAAAGGGATAAAGAGAAACAGAAATTCAAGGCAGAGCTCGAACGCAAAGAAGCACAAGCCCGGCAGAAGACCCCCCACATAGACCCCCATGAAGCAGAGCTTCAACGCATCAGGGAGCAGAATGCTCTCTTCATCAAGCAGCGCATGCAGCAGCTGCAAAAGGAAAGACAAAATATATTCAGAGACCACTCGGCCCAGCTGCTGCAGCAGCAGCAACAGCAGCAGCAGCAGCAGCAGCAGCAGCAGCAGCAACAACCCAGTGCCACACATGCGCATGCAACGCATGCAGTCAACGGTACAGAGACAGAGACGGAGGAGACCCTCGATGATATTCTTCTCAGGTCTGTTGTGCTGCAGTGGAATGTCCCTGCAGCAGCAGCAAACGCATGCAAGCAGCAGCACGCGACCTCTGCGCCAGCAGCAGAAGCAGAAACAACAGGAGACAGAGCTGCAGCAGTAGGAGCAGCAGGAAGTCCAGCAGCAGCAGCAGCAACAGCAACAGAAGATGAAACAGCTGCAGCAACAGCAGAGCCACCAGCAGGAACAGCAGGACCAGACACAACTGCAACAGCAGCAGCAGCAGCAGCAGCAGCAGGAGCAGCAGCAGCAGATGCTCCAACTCCTGCTTCTCTGTGCGCCCAGCTGTGGATGCACGGTGCTGTTGACCTGTGTTTCTTTTCTGCGGGTAGAGGCCAAGCCTGCGTCT